AATAACAAGCTGGGACGTCCCTTAGTGTGAATCGTTATCTGCGGTGAAGTTATACATTCAGATATATTTATCACTGATAGTGTTCACTCAAATATGTTTTAGCTAAATTCAGTATGATGTTAATATGCAAAATTAACAGCTCTACAACAGGATAATGTAGCTGAAAACTCATTCCGATTCCAGACCAACGAATTCCAAGAAGAGTTCAACCAAAGCTATTATATTCAATTCAATGGTTATGGACATGAAAAAGGTCACGAATTTATTAAAAGCCTGCGTCGCGGACAGCAAACAAATTGTCTACCAGCTGAGCATACTCTGAGTGGCCAGCGAAGTGGAGCTAATCTGAAACAATTCATGGCAGAAAGACTTAAGCCATTCAACTGAAAGACTTCAAACATTCACAGAAGTTCGAATATTTTCTTTTAATAATTGTTGACATCTCCTCCCTCAATTTTAAATGGCTGCTGAAATCTTATAGACTTGCTTCTGTTAAAAAAATGAATTTACAATACGTATGTTGCATTGCTTAATTTTAGAAACAGTATTACCGTTGACGATTTGACATCCGTTCTGTATTCGGATTCCTACTGGCCGAGCTTCAATCTGCCGTAATATCTCTGTCGAATTTCGTACGCTGACTATACCTTAATTGCATTGATTTCAGCTATTTCCAAAGCATTTATAATATAAGTGGAAACCTGGATCTGGTAAAGAAGTACGGCGACTTCTTTAGCTACGAAAATTCACCGAGGCATCGTATGTTCAAAAGGGACTGGCAGAAAGTGCAAGACATGAGTACCTTACTGAAACTTATGAGGTTTGTCTTTGATTCAATTAATTCGAACTTATTTATAGGAAACAATTCTAAAAACTTCTCAAGCACTTTAAAATTGATTCGACTTTATCTTCTACTAATTGTTAAAACTGAATCTGGGACAGGATGAAAACAGTACTTTGGTTGCGAGATGACTAAAATACCTCAACTAATTTGACTTGAATATAAATACAATGCCCAATTTAAATGTTATAATAAGGTTATAAAAAGCTGATTAAATTTAAAATAAATGTAAATGACAAACACGTAAGTAAGACCGGCTTTGATTCTGCACCGCAGTTATATAGATAAGTGTTCGTTGTACGATTCATGCTTCAGCGCACCAAATACAACAGGTGGTAAAATGTTTCACTAAATACGCTGTAGCATCATCAGGGCAGGACTGAGTCCAAATGACTGCTTGAAGGCATTTATGTCAAACAAGCGAACAGTACTGTTTATCAATAACCAATGCTTCAGGTTTTTGATTCTGGGCCCATAATTGTATAGATAAATATTTGAACGATTCATGGTTCAGGGCACTAAATAAAAAAGATGGTGCAACAGTTTATTGTCGACGCGTTTCTCTAAAGAGGCCGTAGCATCATCAGAGCTAGGGTAAGTACTTAGGCTAGGTATACCTTTGATTCCTTGGATATGAACAGTAGAATCGCAAACGGTCCACATCTGTTGGGCATCATTAAGTTCGAGCTGGGGTGTAAAAGTTTAACATCAACGATCGTCCATCCAGAAATCGCATTTGGACCGCACTGGCTACGGGTAACAGGCTGACAGCCCTCTGCGCTGACAAAGAGAGAACACAGTGGTGACGCTTATGGATAAATATGAAGAGAGAATGTTGTAACATTTCATGAATGATGATATATGCACCAAACTTCGAAATAACACCAACATTGACAAGACAACCGGCCAAAAGCTGTTGGAGGTTCTAAGACGTTAGCAAAAAAAGAAATTATCGACGTAGGCAATGTGCAGAAGTTGCTGCTTACTACTGACTCCTGTTTAACATCAAAGATTTATAGATTAGTGAAGCTTCATAAGCCTAGCAAACCGCTGGGGGTTATCATATTGGCAAGAGGAACGATACCATACCAGATTGCCAAGGTACTTGATTTGTTGCTGAAATGTGCTGTTAAAGGAATGACCTACTGAGTTACGGAGGTTTACACAGAGATGATTTTCCAGGTAAACTGATAGAACATGATCAATAGAATTGTTTCATGACTTCTCTAGACGTCAATGCCCCTTTCCAACAATAATGAACACTAATACGCTTGCAAATATTTTCCCTGACACTTTAAACAACAGGAGAGAAGAGTGGAAGGTATTCCAGCGTGTTGAGAAATTGCAGCGTTGACGAATTACAGACAATCTTCGGCCTGGTGATGAATGGCACCAATTTCTAATTGTCAGTCAGTATTTACCACAAGACGTGGGGCGTTCCGATAAGCGACCCCGTAGGTGTGGTTTTAGTTGATCTTTACATGGACCATCTGGAAGTGAAAGCCCTTAACGAATGGTGGTCAGAATTCCGGCATCTGCTCTGTCCGATTCGTTGATGAAATTTTCCTATTATTCCAACAAAAAAGTTGGAAAGCTTCTTTGAATACATGAATAGACGAGACGACAATGGCCGAGTAAGCTTTATCACATAAGTTTATGTCAAACAACGTGTATCCTTTCTTGATGTGCTGGTGAATAGGACGCCATCGTTTGAATTTAAGAATTCTGTATATCGGAAACCAACCCACTCCACGCCGCCTCATGTATCCTTCCTGGTTTCAACGTTGTGAATAACATGCGCTTACGACCCCATGAATCCTGTACTTCTGGCGTAAACGCGGAGATTCAGCATCTGCACCAAACGTTCGTGAAAAACGTTAATGGAAGGAAGATCCTTGACGATGAACTTTTGCACCCCAGCTCGAACTTAATGATGCCCAGCTTATGTGGACCGACGGTGATTTTATCGCTCATATCTCGAGTATCTCAACACATTAGAAGACACCTTAATGACATTGGGTTCAGAGTCCACTGCAAGATCGGCAAAACATTTTTTAATAATTTATTTAAAATGTACATAACCATTTATCCGGAAGAAATGTTCAATGTAGTATACAGAATTCACTACGGAGACTGTGGTAAGGCGTACGTTGGAAAGACCAACCGAAACATTCGGATAAAGAAGCATCTTTTTGCGGTTCACCTCGGACAAGCGGACAATTCCGGTAGTACCCAAGATGCAATAACGGATGGGCATTCTTTCGGGCAGACCAATATATGCTATTAACAAAGACCATTCTAAATTAGGCCGGCTGATATACAAGTTCTTGCATATACTGGCAATAAAAAAATGGATGTGCAATGAATACATTTCATCTGTGGTTATTAGTGAAAGCTGAGACGCAGTTTGGCCAACATAGATTTTTTCAATGTAAACATTATGTTGTTTTATGGTTAACTGAACTTGGTTATGCTCATTCAGCTTAACAACGCTTTGATTCCATAAGATCAGCCA